TACTCTATGCCAGTTTACATATCTTTAAAATGGTATCCAAAAAAGTTAACAGGAGTCCTAGTCAGAATCAGGCAAGAGAAAAAAAATTTAATAAACGGTATCCAAATTGGGAGAGAATAAATCAAATTATCTTTGCATGATGTTGATATGATATTATACCTAGAGAATACTAAAGACTTCCAAAAGACTCCTGAACTGCATGCATGAATTCAGTAAATCCTCAGGATACAAAGTCACCACACACAAATCAGTAGCACTGCTATATACCTAATAACAACCAAAATGCAAATCAAATCAAGAATGCAATTCAATTTATGATAGCTACCAAACAGCTAAAATACCTAGGAATATACTTAACCAAGGAAGTGAACAATCTATATAAGGAGAACTACAAAATACTGATGATAATCATTGTAGATGATGTAAACAAATGGAAAACAACCCATCCTCATGGATTGGAAGAATCAACATTGTTAAAATAATCTTATGACCCAAAGTAATCTACTGATTTAATGCAATCTCTATCAAACTATCAATGTCATTATTCACAGAATTATTTGAAAAGATTCTAAAAGTCTTTTGCAACAACAACAACAACAACAACAACAACAACAAAAAGTCAGAATAGCCAAAGCAATCTTAAGCAAAAAGTACAAAGCTGGAGTCATCACATTACCTGATTTAAAATTACAATATAAGGCTATACTAAATTATACTTTCACTATAATTATACTAGCAGAACAACATGGTACTGGTACAAGAACAGACACATGAACCAATGGTACAGAATAGAGAATCAGCAAATAAATCCAAATACCTACAACCGACCGATTTTCAACAAAGCAGACAAAAACATACTCTGAGGAAAGGACACCCTATTCAACACATTGTGCAGGTAAACTGAATAGCTACATGTAGAAAAAATGAAACTTTATCTCTCTCTCTACTCATATACAAACATTAACTCAAGATAAAGACTTAAAAGTGAGATTTGAAACCATAAATATTCTAGAAGAAAACACAAGAAAAATTCTTCTGGACATTGGCCTAGCCAAAAAAATGTCTAGTTAAAATTTCAAAAACAAATGCAACAAAAACAAAAATAAATAAATTGTGCTTAATTAAACAACAATAAAAACTTCTGCACAGAAAAAAAGAAATAATCAAAAGGAGAAGATATTCACAAACTACATCTGGCAAAGGACGAATATCCAGAATCAGCAAATAATTGAAACAAATCAGTAAGAAAAAAACAAATAACCCATTGAAAAGCGATCATTGTCAAGGATGAGTTCGTTGAGAAATTGAGGTTTTGTTTCTGAATCTCTATCCTGTTCCATTGGTCTGTATGCCTATTCTTGTACCAATACCTGGCTGTTTTGATTATTGTAGCCTTTTAGTAAAGTTTGACGTCTGAACGTGTGATACCACTTGCTTTGTTTCTTTTACTAAGAATTGTTTTGGCTATTCGTGGTTGTTTATGTTTCCATATGAATTTCTGTAGTCATTTCCGGGTCTGAGAAGAATGATGTCGGTAATTTAATGGGTATTGCATTGAATCTGTAGATTGCCTTTAGCAGGATGGACATCTTAATAATGTTGATTATTACTATCCATGAGCATGGAATATTTTTCCATTTGTTTGTGCTTTCTTGGATTTATCGAGCAGTGTTTTGTAGTTTTCATTGTAAAGATTTTTCACTTCTCTGATTAGGAAGATGCCAAGGTATTTCATTTTTTTTTGTGGCAATTGTGAGTGGGATTGTGCCTTTTATTTGGTTCTCCGCCTGCTTGTTGTTGGTATATAAAAATTTGACTATCTTTTGCACATTTATTTTGCACCCTGAGACTTTGTCAAAGTCTTTTATCAGTGCAGGCAGGTTCTTAACAGATTATCTTGGATTTTCAAGGTATGAGGTCATATCAGCAGCAAAGATGGGTAACTTGACTTCCTCTTTTCCTGTTTGGATACCCTGATTTCCTTCTCTTGTCTAATTTCTCTAGCTAGAACTTCCAGCACAACTTTGACAAAGCCTCCAATAACAACCACTGGGGAGAGGAGAATCAATTCATTAAACAGTGCTGGGAAAACTGACTGATCACATGCAGAAGATTGAAACAGGACCCCTAACTATCACCATATGCAAAAATCAACTCTAAATGGATCAAAGACCTAAATGTAAAATCCCAAACCATAAGAACCTTAGAAAATGCTGGAGACACCCTTATGGAAATCGGAATTGGCAACCAATTCTTAATCAAAACCCCAAATGCCCATGACATTACAGATAAGATAGACAAGTGGGACCTTATGAAACTGAGAAGCTTCTGTAGAACAAAAGAAATAATCAAGAGAGTGAGGAGACAGTCCACAGAATGGGAAAAAATATCTGCCAACTGTATATCTGACAAAGGCCTGATATGCAGTATCTACAAGGAACTCAAACATGCCGAAAGGAAAAAAAAAACAAACAGCCCTATTAAGGGGCAAAAGACATGAATAGACACTTCTCAAGAGAAGAGAAATGAGAAGCCAACATACACATGAAAAAGTGCTCAGCCTCACTTATCATCAGAGAAATACAAATCAAACCACAATGAGATACTGCCTTACCCCAGTAAGAATGTCCATCATTAATAAAAGCAACAACAACAGATGCTGGCGAGGAGGTGGAGAAAAAAGAATGCTTCTACACTGCTCGTGGGAATGCAAACAAGTGCCATCTCCTTGGAAAACAGTATGGCAATTTCTGAAAGAACTAAAAATTGACCTTCCATACAACCCAGCAATCTCCCTCTGGGAATCTATCCAGAGGAACTCAAATCATCCTACAAAAATGATACCTGCACATACATGTTTATTGCTGCACTATTAACAAAAACAAAACACAGAACCAACGGTGCTGCCCATAGAAACTGGACAAGTTAAAAAAATGTGGCCGGGCTTGGTGGCTCAGCCTGCAATCCCAGCACTTTGGGAGGCCGAGGTGAGTGGATTGCCTGAGCCCATGGGTTTCGAGACTTGCCTGGGCAACGTGGCGAGACCTCATCTCTACAACAAATCAAAAATTAGTCAGGCATGGTAGCACGCGCCTGTGGTTTCAGCTACTTGGAAGGCTGAGGCGGAGGGATTGCCGGAGCCCAGCAGGTCGAGGCTGCAGTGGCCGGGAGCAGCCACTGCACTCCAGTCTGGGTGACAGAGTGAGACTCCAACTCAAAAAAATAAAATAAAATAAAAAATTTTTAAATGTGGTAAATATACACAATGGAATATTATGCAGCCATAAAGGACAAACATATGGACTGTGCAGCAACTTGGATGGATGTAGAGTCTATTTAGTCAGTGATCTATCACAGAGACAAAGAACAGAGTATGATATGTTCTCACTCAAAAGTGGACCTTGAACAATTATCTTAATATCGTAAAAAGAGATTGGCAGTAGTGGGAAATTGCCAGGGGAGGGGGATTTTCAATAGTGGGAAACTCCCAGAGGAGGGGGACACACCTCATCAAAAAGAGTTCCTGAATAATGAACATTTGTATACCTGAATCTGAATTGTACCCCACATCTTTGAAATAGAAAGTTAAAAAAAAAAGAAAAAAGTGGGCAAATGACACAGACATCTCTCAATAGAAGATGCACTAATGGCCGAAAACCATATTTTTAAAAATGCTGAACATCACTCATCATTATAACCACAATTGGATATCACCTTATACCGACTAGAATGGCCATTATTTTTAAAATCACAAAGAAATAGACATTGGCTTAGATGTGGTGAAAAGGATATGCTTATACAAGGTTGGCGGAATTGTAAACTAGTACAGCCTCCATGAAAAGGGGTATGAAATTTCTCAAAAACTAAAAGTAGGTCTTCCATTTTATCCAGCAATCCCACTGCTTCATATCTACTTAACAGAACAGAGATCATTATACCAAAAAGACACTTGTACTCGTACGTTTATCACAGCACAATTGGCAATTGTAAAGATGTGGAATCAACATAAATGTGCATGAACTGATCAATGGTTAATGACAATATGGTATATATGGATAACACACATACACACACATACGTATACGTACTGGAATGCTATTCAGTCATGAAAAAGAATTAAATAATGCCTATTGCGGCAACTTGAATGGAATTAGAGGCCACCAGCCTAAATGAAGTAACAGGAACGGAAACCCAAAAACCAGATGCTGTCACTTGTAAGTGGAAGCAAAACTAAGGAACTGCAAAGGCATAGAGAAGAATATAGCATAAAGAACGTTGAAGACTCAGAAAGGAGAGACTGAGAGAGTTGTACAATGTGCACAGGCACATTCTTGGGTACAATGTGCACAGGCGAAGGAGGAGAACACACTTAAAGCCCGGACTTCTACATCACTTTAAAATGTGTCCATGTAACCAAAAATCATTTTTACTGCCTAAAATCATTGAAATAAAAATTGAAGAAAATATTTCCCAGGGATATTGAAAAAATACAAAGTATGTAAATATTTAGAAATATCTGAAAAATTGTATTGATTAATATAGCAATAACTTCAGTTATGAATGCTATTATAATTTGGTCACAAACTGCAAATCCAAAATACATGTAGCCAAAAATTTCAGAAATTCGATAGTCTTTCTTCTATGTAAACTATTAAATTGAATGTTTGGTGTATTCTTAACATATTTGAAGGTTTTACGTGATCAAAGAAACATGTTAACCACGCAGGCATTGCAGGTGTTTTTCATTTAATGGTTTCCCCCTCATTGAGATAAAAACTGTAATCTACACTTACACATTCAGGAATTAATTTCAATAAATATTATAATAGCTAGACCCAATATTATTTAACAATTAATACCACAAAAAGTAATAACATATTTTGAAATCTCTCAGACCACCCCCTTCCCACATGCACAAGTAAAAACTGGTCTTCAATAAATGACTCTTGGATTTTTCAAAAATATGTTAATTGCTCAACTATAAAAATGACTTTTCTTACCCATATCTGACATTTCAGGCACAGTAACAATGTACGGTCCATCTGTGAATTTTGGAGCATTGTCATTGATGTCTTGCACCTTGATGATGAATTCAGATTCAGGCTCAAGAGGCTTGTTTGTCCGTCGGTCAATAGCCTGAGCATGAAGCACGTAGTGGGTCTTCTGTTCTCTGTCTAAGCTTTTCGTTGAATGGATGTCACCAGTGGTATCATCAATGATAAATATAGTCCCGGCACCCTCTCCAGTTAGGATATACTTGACAGACCCATCACCTTTGTCAGAATTGGAGTGTAGCTGTAAAAGACACATGGAATAAGTTAGCATGCAATTATATTCCAACCTCACATCACATTCCCTGAACATTCCTTATGGATAATTTAATACTTAGTTTGACTATGATGCCTTCTGTCCTGTGTGTTACTCCAATCATTTATTTTTCTGCAGTTTTTCTTCTCTTGGCAATAACACAGACATCATTATGATTTGTGTAAGAGATCTAATTTAAGATCTAATTGATTTAAGAAAAAATACAATATTTAGTAAAAGAAAAACAAACCTGTCATCATACCAAAACAACATTCTACTAACTACCACCAAGTTGGGAAAATACATTTTTACTAGGTCACTATTGTCTTCCATTCTTATAAAAATAATGTCTTTCTTTGTTAATTTCGTTTTAGTTTTAACTAATTTTTGACAGTTTATTTCAAACTTTAGACTAGAAAAAATTTATAGTAGGAAAAAATTGAGATGCAAATTAATTATTAAGAGTTCCACAAAAGAGGCACATGTTTAAGTCATTAAGTTACAGATATTTAATTTAATAATTTGAAAAAAAATGAATCACTTTATAATACAAAGGCTTACATGTCAAATTTTAAAAAGCATTCATTTTTTTCTTTAAGGATTATGAAATGTTAACTCAAAATTTACAATTTAATCAACAGTAAATTCTAATTTGTTTAATTAATTGAGAGACACTAATGAATTCTCATATACTAAAATTAAAGTGATCAGATATTCTGTGAATAGGTATTAGAAAAATAATAGTTTAGTAGAGTAGAAGTCTTAGATAAAAAAGATAGCTAACATATTAAGATAACAGAAATTAGTATTTTTTGTCACTTAAACATAAATAAATGCTTTAAACTGCCCATAGTTCATACTTAAGATCCTAACTAGAAATTGTAACATCAAGATTCAGTTAAATAGTTCCTTGAGTGCCAGTGCTGTATTTCTAGGTAGAAATAGCAACAGTATTTTCTCAAATCACACACAGATATTTAAAGAATTGTTTCTCCCCAGAGATCTGAACAGTTGTCCTTTATAATGTGAAATGTTTATGGACACATAACTTCAGCGACTTACTTTTTGCTCATTTCTGACACTTGAAAACATTGAAGAAAACACAAACTTGTTCACATAGCATTTTGTTTTTCGTGCCATAGTAAAGTGAAAATTTTTAACTTTGTTTTAAGTCTCTAAGCTTTTAAAAGACATTTGAAAAAAATAAAACTCAGAAAAAGACAATACAATATGAGGAAATCACTTTTTTCTGGGAAAATGAAGGCAACTGAAACATAAATGATAGTACATCAAGAGAAATTTTATTTCCTTCTTATAAACATGTAAGACATAGCAGGGAGAAAATTCTGAGAGAAATCAGGCAGCAAGATGCAACAAATGAAACTATCTCAAAAATACTTATTTAGATCTTTTGTGACAATGAGGAAAACAGCTTTCAAAGATTCACACTTATAAGTAAATTGACTGCTAAAAGAAAGCAGAATGAATTTTCTGAGACAACTGTATGCATATATGGAATATATTTGTTTCTTTATGCCTTTTAGCATACCATTTTGTCATTTAGAAGAAAAAGATTTAATATTCATGAAGAAGATACCTACAAAATATGCAATGAGAAACCCATTTCACATTATCTAATTTTGCATCAGTCCATGATCAAAACATAGCCAAGTAAGGTAAAAAATTCATGCACCAAATGTTTCTAAACTCTTTTCTGGAATACTTGTCATTAAACTCACAAAAGGTAAAATAATTTGGTAAGTATTATATTGCTATATATCAATTATAAACATATATATATATATATATATATATTAAAAGGCAAACCTCATTCCCACAAAAGTGTTTTTTACACAGGTATATTTACATTATATATATGTACGCCTTTTAATAACTAATTTCAGAAAGACATAACAATAATGAGAGTTGACTTCTGTTTTCAGAGTATATTTGACAAAACATATTTTAGTAAAGTTAATTTTATATCATTTAGTCTTAGAATAAAAGTTCATAATACAGACACAACTATATTTAAAGAAAATGGCCTGTAGTATGCAAAAAGAATAATAAACTTGTCATCCTAAAGCATCTATTAATATTTTTATACACTATATACTTATTATAAATTCTGGTAAATAATTCATATAAAATAAATTTCCCTGTAATTTTATGGCTTTATATTTTAAGACTTGAATTTGTTCCTCATTTACAATGCTTTTTATATTTAATAACAACTTGACATAGATGTTTTGTAAGTTATGCATAATTGCAACATGAATTGTAATATGATCAGTGAATTGTAATTCAGTAATATCTATATTGTATAAAATCAGCAAAAGTTACACAAAAATATTATGAACTGCATTTGAATTATGTAGGTTGCTTATAATCTTTAATGTAGATGATCATTTTGTTAATAAATTTTTAGTTTCTCATCTAACCTGGTTTAGTCTTGATATGATCAGTTTCCATGTAACACTAATAGAAAACTATTGCATTAGAATTTATTCAGTAGTTTATATTATTTAAATGATAACCACCCAAGATTATCCACTCTCAGGATTCTCTCTCTTCTGCCACATCCATTCTTAAACACTTAATTCTGTCTATGACATATGCTTTGCAACAGAAGTGGAGCCTGAGAGAAACATTGGTTATACTTTCTTGTTTTGTTTAATTTGTGACTCTCCAGATACTAGAAAAGCACTTTTTAAAATTAATTTTTGTAAGCTAAGAAATAAGGTATGAATGATGGGTGAGTAGTATTGTAGTTGAAAATTTTTTTTTTTTTTTTTGAGTTGGAGTCTCACTCTGTCACCCAGACTGGAGTGCAGTGGCCGCTTCTGGCCACCGCAGTCTCTACTTGCTGGGCTCCCGCGATCCTTCTGTCTCAGCCTTCCAAGTAGCTGGAATTACAGGCATGCGCTACCACGCCCGGCTGATTTTTTGACTTATTGTAGAGATGAGGTCTCGCTGCTCAGGCGGGTCTCGAACCCGCGGGCTCAGGCAATCCACTCACCTCAGCCTCCCAAAGGCGCAGGATTACAGGCTGAGCCACTTGAACGAAGAGAAAGTTCTTGGATACAGATAATCATAATAGAAATTTGTCATCTCCAGTCATGGGCAATAATGAAACAACAAATGAAAGAAATTGGAGTAAAGCATGGAAATTAGAAATATATATATACATGGTACTAATTTAGTAAACAGTAAAAGTAGGTTGTAAGCTTAGGCAGCTATTTTATTACCTAAGAGAGATATTCATGATTTTTACAGTGAAATATATAGCAGTATTTGAAAGATAACATTGATTTTGGTCATACACAATGAAATCTTTTTAGCAGATGGTTTAATAATACTACTGAGAGAGCAGTAGCAATGTCTTATTGTTACTTAAAGTGGTACAAATATACTTTTAGATGAATGAAATTTTGCAAAGTAGGTTGCATCTTCATGTGGAAGAACAGATATTATATTGCCCTAAAGTAAGAAGAGATCATCTTTGTGTATGTGATCACATAATAAAGAAGGGGAAATTACTTTTAGAGAACAGAAAAGGAAAGGAGGGGGTCAAGAAAAAAATAAAAGAAAATGTAATCACCCAAATCAGGCAAAATGGACACGTTTCTGGCATTTTCTAATAAAATGTCTCTTTCTAAGTGTTAAGTAGTAACCCATGGCACTTAGAAAGCTAATGTGACTCACATGAGTTCACCCTAGAAAACTATCTATTGACTCTGGTCTACATTAGGATCAGAACCTACAAATTTATAGCTTTCATTCTAATGCAGAGTTTCTCAATAAAATAATATTCTATCCCTTGGGGAAGAATCACTTTAAAAGGTTAAAAAGATGGTGGCAGAGCCATTTATTTAGAAAGTTGCTTTTAGTTAAGAGTTCAAGCTATGTTAAAAAGATAGGTCACTGACTTAAATGGGAATATTTGGGGTCACATAATTTATAGACATTTTATAACTAGAAAACATGCTTAAAACATTTCACTGGAAGCCAAAAATAAAGGCAGAAATATAATATGGTAATTTCATTATTACCATTATCTTACAAACTTGTATATAAATATGTGATGCAATAAGAAAGAAATGTAAAAATCCTAAGGAATACATGCCATTGGAAAATATTATGCATCCTTTACTCTAGAATGTGTTATACTCTTAAAGTATAAGCAGATAAAACAAAAAAATCAATTGAACTATTAATAAGTAATTGATGTAAAAATATCAAGGAAAAATTTCTAGATAATTGACAACACATCAGTCTTTTTGTGAAGAAACATATATCAACCATAAATTTTAAATATTCATAGATAAATATGGAAATATTTTGATATTGATAAATATATTGTTATGTTTAAAAACAGCATAATTAAAGCACTTTGGTTAACCATAGAACTCATGATAATCAATAAAAATATAGAGAAAAGAATTTAGATGAGAATAAGTATTTTTTTAATTGGACACATCAAAATGCAAAGTCTCTTGCAATGAATTTTAGTTTTTTAGCTTTTAAGTAATTGATATCAGTTGTTGGACAAGGAAACAAGTGAATAAGGAGGAAAGGAAAAGAGACAGAAAGCAAGATTTGCTTTAGCATTATATCCTCTGAATCTCTGCTTGAAAGTATTAGCATTCAAGATGAAAAACTGCAAATTATCGCTAAAAATTTGAAATTGTCATAATCCTATACCCTTAGCTGTATTTAGAATGTCCCATCCAGATATACTAGATATTTAAGCACTGCAGGATTCAGGAAATGGCTGAAAATTTTACTATAAATTTTGAGAAGCATCAAAAGGTAATGAATCAATTGTAATGATCTATACAGGGCACAAGAGTACCCATTCTCTATCAGAGTTAATCTGCAGGGTACTTTTTTAAGTCTCCTAATCAGTATCTAGTTGAAAAAGAGGCAGATCTGACAGCTTTGTTAAAAAAAAAAAACTCAAAGATTTTTAAACATTATTTTAATTACTTCCAGA